TGTCTTTGTTAAATAAAAGCTTTGATTAGGTAAACAAACAAGTAACATATAAAGAACATAAATAATTCTAACAAAAAAAAAACTTAAAACATTCTAAACCACCTAAATATAAAAGCTTTGTTACTTTAGTGTGGCTTTAGTGTGGTTGTAGTGTAGAAAACAGTCTTTCAGCATTCTAGCAACACTAGTATTAACAATACAAAAACAAAGATTTACAATGTCAAATGTTTGAAATAGAGAACACAAATAAACAACAGGGGAGTCTATAAATTTTGCGTAAATGTAATCATTCATTTTAAACTACAGTTTTAAAACATTCAGCATCTGCAGTATGAGAATACATTGTGTTGTTTAAGTGTGAAGCCAGCTACTTTGCTGGAGTAACTTTGTGAGGAAATTACAATACATCATTGCAAATACAGAGTCAATCTCAACTAGCATGTTATTAATAGTTATCAGTTATTAATAGTATTTTCGTCTGCTTAGATTATGAAATGCCTGCTGACAGAGTGCTGTTTTTATCTAAGCCTTTGCACAGAACTTAATCAAATCGTGGTCTCTCACGGAGATCATTTCCACAGAACTTGGATGCTTATTAATGAAATAGATCTTACATAGTAAATGTTAAAGTAATTTAGTCAGTCTTGAGCGAGTGGATCTTGTTAAAAGCTACATACGGTTGCCATACTGGAACATGCCTGAGTGAACAGGACTCATAAACGCTAGCTTAATTGATTGTAGATAGTAGAATTGTATTGCATAAACAACAGAGAGAGTTAAATTAAGCTGGTTTGTTTCCAACGTTCACTTACTTAAGCCATATTAAACTCATGTAAAGTTTTATCGTTGGGACACGACTCGAGTTTGTCTCTATTTATTGATGCCAAGTTTAAACTAAATATCAATCATTTATGTAATGCATCTCATTTGTGCATTATTTGGCTGATATGTTAAATAAAGCATATCAATCAAAGCAAATCAAGCTACTTTACCTGTAAACGCCGCTGTTGACT